TAAACATGGTTATATGAGTGTAAGATGCACAAATACAGATCCAGGAATAATGTATTAGCCGTGATGAAAAAAAGCACTTTGTGCCCTGTTTCCATATTGCTTGTTTAGAGTGACATACATAAAGGATGTTTACAGAATCCACTATTTAGATACACAGAGTATAGTAACTGATACTATTTTCTGTCTTAATAAATAGCTGGAGAAAGAGAAAGTGACTTGAAGGACAAAACATAGAAACAGGATCTCTGATTTCTAAGATATATATGTCCCTTGCTTGAAATGGATCTGGGTAGTGCATATTCTCTCTAGTGGTTAGATGGATGGGGTGCCATACAGTCTTAGTAACTTTTAAAGATGTTCACAGCTTAAAATGGGTGAAGTTAAAATATGAAGGAAATGCTTTATGAGAAAAGGCACATAGCCACATTAAGTAAGGAGAAGAGACTAGGGTAAATGTGAAAAAGAAAACACAGGGGAATTCCAAATTCAGATCTTCATAATTGAAGATTCCCCTTCTTAACAACTAACTTTGGCCCAGCTCCCTAGCTTTACATATATAAAAAAACTCCATCTTGTCCATGGGTGATGGGAATATGATGGACTGACTGGATATGTGCCTCTGGCACTGTGGGCCTTGCAGTTGCCTCACAATCTCAATGCACAACCATTCAGATCTTCCCTGGCACCTGTGCCTTCTTCTGAATAGAGGAAGGGCTACCAGGATTCCCATAAGTCATACACAGATAAATCCAGAGAGAGCTGAGCAAGGGGTTGCAGTGTGTGAAACTTTTGGCTCTGGAGCACAGAAAGGGGCAGGCTGTCCCCTTGGCTAAGGCACTGCTCAGGGCTCTTCTCCATATGAAGCTATTTGATGCCTGAAGAATATATTTAAAGCAGTAAATCCCTGACCAGAGGCATGTAGCTGCTGTCTTCTTTTGTCTGGGCTGGAAAGCTCCAGTGTTTGGCCTGACGAAAACCCATGGACTCAGCTGTGGTTGCCAAATGGCTGCTGCCTCCAGGAACAGGCTGACTGAACCCATTGATTTGGACAGTGACGAGGTCTGGACTGACAGCCATAATGCCTAAATTGGGTAACCAGAACCTGTTACCTTAAAATAATTTCCTGTGACCTACAGTCCTATTATTATCTCCCATACCACTGTACAACAGTGTTTATGTATTTGGAAGGTTTACTTGTTTGCTGCAAGGACAGACCCATTGTCTTTTCTCTTCAAGGAAAAGACAGACTTGTTCTCCCTAGAGAAAGTCAAGTTTCCTCTAGGTCATACATTTTCTGTGGGTCCTTGTTGTGACAGGCCCACACTTTTGCCTGCATCCAGTTTAAAGGCTTTCCTCTGTCCTTGCAGGGTACCTGTCACAACAGATACTTTGAATCTTTCTTTAATCTCTAACCTAAAAATCTCCACAGTTACAGCAAAAACTCTTTGCATGTCTTTTTTCTAACCCCCTCCATATCCACATTGTAAGGTCCCCTTGTCTTTGGTTTATGACCTCTCCAGAATTTCACCAGTGCTCTTTCTATGCTCTTTTCCAAAACATGGAGTAGTAATGCAGCCCATCACTTGGTGAGTAATGTATCTGCTACATCTTGTCAGCTGTTGATGCAGCTTTTGAGGTCAACCAATCAATGTGTCATTTGGTCTCCTTCTGAGGACACGTCTACCATTCCAACCTCCTCACTACCCTGGCTTCTCCCACACTCTGTGGCCTGTCACATCTAATGTATGTACTCAGCATGCTGCCCTAGTGATCTAGTGGTGGTATTTTTTGTGTCAAATTGACTTGAAGAAAGTGTTGGATATATGTGAGATGCAGCATGGCTGCAGGGCAAATCCAGACCAGAGCTAATTGTGCCACTGTTGCACTCAGTGCCTGAGATTAGACAAACTTCCCTGTCACTGCCTCCAGCTGAGTTCTGAAAAACCAAAACATTTCTGCTACTTCCGGGGATGAAAGTAGGGGAGAAACACAATTTCCTCATTAAAAATCCCTCAACAACCAATTCCCCAGTCTTCTTTTCATTAACTATAGTGGTTTCCCAACTTTTATGCTGCTAAATTTGGCAGATTATATTTGTCCTAGAGAAAATAGCTGAATTTACAGCAAATCCTACATAAGTAAAATCTGATCCCAATGGGCCAGAATTTCTTGTGCCACTTTAAAATGTGGTTTAGATCTTCTAAGTATTTTAAATTCATATTATATACACCCTGTATGTTCACATTTATAAGCTCAGCTTTTCTAGATCATTGTTTGAATCTATTATTTGTCATCACTATCTGATGCTCTTCTACCAGTTGGATATCCAGGGAGTCATTTCCATTTGACTACTGAAAATGCAGAGTAGAAATTGCTTTAAATTGTCCAGTAATTTTAAAATAACAAATAGAATTATTTTAATGTTAAAACTTCTGCTGCTATTTCACCTGCAGAAGTGTAATCTTTCTGTAGGTTACATGAACTGGAGTTATATTTTGCTGGATGCCTTCCAGTACCTATAAAACAGACAAATTTTTAAGGTAACACCTTCTAAAGGTGGGCTGCAAAACTACAGAGACAACAAAACCAAGAGTGTGATGACAAATATGGTACATGATTTCAAAACTTCCCTTCCTATGGAAATGACCTAAAGATGTAAAAGTGGAAGGATACATGCCAAAATCACATCCATAGCCACTCTACTTTTAGACATCTTTCCTTCATTTCTGGTCTCTATTTTGTCTGTGCAGATGGTAAATTCTTGAAAACTCTTCTAGACACATATTTAAACTCAGAGCAAAAATGTGTTGCCTGATTCTTCTGTGTTTATTGAAGATCTTCAGCTGTGGATGCCATGGCTAACTGGGGATTTGCATTCTTTGGTTAATATTTAATCTGTAGCATAGCTGCAGCTTACATGGGATCCTAGATTCATCAGTCAGAGAAATTTCCCATTAGTCATGAAAACTTTAGTTAAAATAAGCAACAGGATTGGACCATTCTCTGTTATTAGTCTTTTTTTCAAGCTGAAGTAATTACAAAAAACCAGGTTGCAGTCTTATAAAAAAGGTAGTCCAAATCTTCTCAGAAAGGACAGATTTTATTTTGTTATTGCCTTTTTGTGGAAAATCATTAAGAACAGTCAGGAAAAATTCTTAGTAGTTTTGGGCAGGCAAAGTTAATTTGTGTTTCATTTACAGGAACATTTCCACTGAAACTCCAGATAGAACCAAGCACTCTAGAAGCCTAGAGTCATAATGATCTAAAAGGACACTGTAACCATACTACTTTGCCTTATAGGGTCACTATGTATGTGTTTAACTCACAATCTGATACATAAACACATACATTATACAAAAAGACCCACACTACAAAGAGGTAGAAAAAGGTCTATTTCCTTGGCATGCACAAGGTATGTGTCAGGCAACAGAAAATGACATTTGACTTGGATGGTTGGTGGCTTCCACCTTAAACTGTGCTCTATTCATTTACCTGCATCAGTTTAGATCTATTGATTTAAAACTTTTATTATAATTATTATTATTATTATTTGATTAAGTAAAGTTTGGATGTGTTCAATTACACAGAGCAGCTTTTTTGCTTATTTGTGTTTGCAGTTTTACATAGGCTTAATTCCCCTGGGTGCAATTTACTCTCAAGTGCTGCATTCAAGAGGCAAAAAGACCTTAAAGTGGACATAAATTAGATTTGGCTGAGTACAAGGCTCAATCAATATAGTTCAAACATTTGAATAGTCCCTGAAGTCCTGCTGGCACATCTGGGTTTGCTAAACACACACTGTGGTAAAGCTGAGGAATAACCTCAGGAGGCCAGTGAGCTGAGTTTCCATCCAGAGTCAGCGGAGAGTCTTCAAAATTAACCTCCTAGCAGAGTTTGCTTTTGATTTTTAGGGAATGAGCATTCCTCACTGTTGCCACCAATGCACTCAGCTGCATTGCACTCAGTATTTGCACCAAGGCTTAAAAGTTGGCTGTTATATTAATGTAAAAGTTTTATTTTAGAGATCTAGACTCCCAAAGGGCATGATGCTTCAATCCAGAACAGGTTAAAGGAGAACAAATTTTGAAGCACAGATTATAAATACTTCCACAGCAGAATTGCCTACACACTGTAACTGCTAGCAAATTCATAGTTATAAAATATACTCTTGTACCATCACCTTGAAATTGCTCATTTACATCTGCTTTTCCTGTCTTGCCAATTCTACTCTATTTCCCTGAAAAAAACCCCCAATGAACAACAATGAATCAGCATTCAACACACTTTTTTTAAGAACACAAAAACCTATTTCTGATCATTATGAGGAGTGAAGCCCTTTTACCAAAAGGGTTAAGTACCTGGAAGAAATAGTCTAGAAGGAATGAATCCTACCACTTAAAATTTCATCAAGTGATTCAGCAAGGATTCTCTGGCCTCCCACTCCAAGTATGACCATGGCTAACACTGTGCCAGGCCAGCTGAGGCTTTATCTTGTGTTGAAAAGATCCAAGGACAGAGATACTAAGTACAGTCCCAATGTTGCTCTGCTATTTCCACACCCTTAACAGAAAATACTTCTGGTGGTTCACATATGCTATGTAAAGCTTCTTCCCTCCAAGCAAGTTCTGTGTACCAGCATAAATTGAATGAAAACATGGTACATTTGCACAAAATTCCATACCTTAAAAGCAACTGCAGATGACTTAACATCTGTTGAGGACTAGATGCTTTGACACCATTCTACATTTGCTCCAACCCCCACTGGGACTCTGGTTTATGCTGGCATGCAGTGTGGTCTCTGCAAAGCTTCCCTAGTGCCTGATGGAGATGATACAACTCTTCACTGCATTCAATCACTTTTGTGTTTGTGTTTGTTTTGCTTCTGGAACTACAGTGTTGATTGCTATTGCTGATCCAAGATCAATAGTCCCAGTTTGCTCATGCAGTCAATCCAACAGCTGCGCTTGTTAAATTTTATCTCTTTTTAAACCTTTCCTTAGGTTGGAAAAATCCACAAGAATGCTGCCCGCAAAAGAGAATACCACGTCCTGTTCATGGTGATCACTACAGTTATCTGTTATCTGGTGTGCTGGATTCCATATGGGGTTATAGCATTACTTGCAACATTTGGAAAACCGGGCGCTGTGACTCCAATTACAAGCATCATACCTTCCATCCTAGCAAAAAGCAGCACTGTTTGCAACCCCATTATCTACATACTTATGAATAAGCAGGTAAGACATGCATTATTTTTAACTTGTATTTTCTTCAGGGTCTATCAGACATTCTTGACCATTGTGACTACCAGTCTTATAGATATATTTTCAAGGAGATTTAAAGCTTGTCTAAACAATACTACTGGAGTCTTGGAGTGGAAGTGTTTGCAAACAACAACATATTGCTAGATAGGAAGAAAAGAAATACGTTAAAATGTTTTCTTACTGAAATTACTTGTATTCTTCTGAGGGCACACTGGGTATTAATTTGTATCCTTCAGAGTTAGTTGCCAAAAGCATTTACAAGAATACTCAAACATTTGGTGAGGTTGAGGAGTGGAGGGAAAAATGGACAAGGAAACAAAGGGATTTCATGACCTTGAAAACAAAATAAAGGAGACCATTTGTAAATACCATTATCATGATAGATCCCTTTGAAACAAAATATCATTGCAGTTATTGTTTTTGTGGACATCTACAACCTTACTGTTAAATTCACAGTTCAGCAACATGCCAAAATACATAATGAATTTTGTCTCATGAGCACCAAGGCATATTCTAAATCACCTATATACAGTTCAGGTCCCTTATCCTGTAAATGTCATTGTCAGTACTCCAAAGTGAACCTTCTAATGTTTCTGTGTTGACAATTCTGACTCTAAAGTTTGATAATGGCAGATCTGGAAATTTTGAAAGTGTTTTGCAGTAGGAAATCTGCAAAAATATGCATAGTTTGTGAAAACTCTTTTTATTAGATTATGTTAGAGGTTGTTCTCAGTTTTCTTTCTTTATTATGTCAATTATATTATTACAAAGAAAAGAAACACCCTTTATCTTTTCTCGCTCAGTGTATGCTGGAGCCCATCCTTAGTATTTATCAACAGCAGCAATATATTATAATGGAACTGAGACAAGGGAAGAGTTAAATATAACAGCCAAATATATTCAAGTTTTGCTACAGCCTGAGATCATACTTGGCCTGCTTCATCTAAGCTAAATTTCTTAAACAACAAAAGAATTTACTTTTGGAATTCGAGGGGAAATCTCAAGCAAGATTTGAAACCTCCTTGAAATCAGAAGAAAGTTCTATTGCCTTCCCCAAGACCAGGGCTTAATTTCCAAAGTCTAGTTTCAGCTGATACTGAAGCAAATAAAATATTCCATTTGAAAAGTGTTAATGCTGAAGAAAAACAGTAACTTTCTCCCCTTATCTTTTATGATTCTTATGAAAACTTCTTAACAGCAGCATCTGTCTTGCTTCTTTATTCTCTGAACAACTTGACTGAGGTCCTTGACTGAGAGATAATCTGATAGTGCTGTGATCACTGGAGCAGGTTATAACATTGATAGCAGCTACATTTTGGCATTGTCTTTGCACATGAAGATGTCATGAGCAACCCTGAAAGGGAGGCACTTGGTCAAATTTGGGATAGATACTTTTTCCCAATCAAACCAAAATTATAGCTAATGTGCAACATTAACCTGCAGCTCTCCTCTGATAGTCCACTGTGTATTAGCAGTGAAAATAATTGGTTTTAATTTACACTGAGCAATGTGCTTCACTCAAGAAGGTGGAACCCATCCCTTTGTTCCTCCTGCTTTCAGAACAGGAACAATAGTAGCATCCCCATACAATGCGTCATTGGTGCTCTTGGCACCTCTGTAGCTGTTCTCACACTTTCTTGTAAATTTAACACAGCACCTCAGGAGAAGAAGTTGTTAATCTTCCTGGCACTCAGCTTTCCTCTCTTCGTGCTTAGCTGAGAATTGTCACGGAAGACTGGTGCCTCCCGACACAGAAATTATCTGGCCTGCATTTTTCACAGTTCCCTGTTTGCAGATGTGAGATACCACAGTATGGTATTTTCTCCTGCACCTTAAAAATAAACAGAACATATAGCATAATTATTAGCTCTCTATGTATTAGTCTTTTTGCTCTTGGAAATGCCCCAAAGATTGGAAAATGGTTGACTGCAGTTGTGGTTTTAGCTTCCAGCTGTCATAAATCTCTGCAGAGTATTGTGGAACCATCAGCCTCTGAGTCAGCTTTAAAACTCATCCTACAGAGCTCATCTTTAAATTAACTCTGAAGCAGTCCCTGAGTCACTTTCATGGTCCTGGAAATCTAGAGAAAGAGTTTTGTCTTTGGCTTTGACTACTGCACTGACCTGAGATGGTAAATCATTGAGGAAAATAGAGAATTTTTTTCCAGCTGCAGGAATTCCCTCAGATGGAATGGCATGAGGTATGCTACTGTCCTCCTTCCTGTGCTGTCCTCCAGGAGGAGAAAGATGCACGTTTGAGCTGGAGTGTTACTGGGCTGATAACATGCCAGGCAGACATCAAGATTCATGGACAAAACTAAAGCACTAAATTTTCTGAGACCAAATGATGCTGGGGTGAAGCTGGAGGAGACAGTAGAGGAGATCCCATTTTCCCTGTTCTCTCTTTATGACAATATGAGTGTTTGTGCCTGGGGCAGCTTCTCCAAGGGTCAGGTCCCAAAAAGACAGCACACAGCCAGGTAGCTGGGCAAGGTCAGCATGCTTACACTTTCAGTGCATCAGTCCTTTATAATTATTAGTTAATGTAGCTGTGCAGATTTTGTTTCATCTTCTCCTACCTCTCTCAGTGTCTTTTATTCCCATCACACATCCCTGTCAAGTTCCCACTGTTCAAACTTTCACCCATGCAGTCACCCCAAACAGATTTTTAATGACACCTCTGACTACCTTCCTTTCAGCAGGGTGGTGCTGACAGAAACCTGCTCTTTCACATGTTACATGCAAGCAAGTATTTAGCATTCACTCAGGAGATAAGGAGTTTGTCTGTAGCCATGGGTTTGCTGCTGAGGAGATGATCACTGGGAGAATCCTGGTGTTGTGTGTTCCACAAAACAGCACATGAACTCCAACACGGAAGTGCTTTCTGGCTGGTATAACTGTGCATGAGGACACACTGCACTAAGAAACAGAGATTATTAGCTGGATAGCCTAATGTTGTGGCAGCTTCAGAGGTTAACCTTGTTTTACATACCAGAAATTCATTTTTTACTGATAACGAAGTCAAGATACTAATAATGAGTGTTCAGGAAGGTGTGGTTATGGATAAAATCACAATGAGATTGAGTGAATCTCCACTCATTTCACAAAATTTGAAGATGGCACGCAGAGAAAATAGAAATTTCCTGCATTGCTACTGACAGCCAAATCTAAGTCAAGTTTAAACCTGTATCACTTATAGATCTAGAGAACCAATTGTTTGAAAACTGCAGATGAGATTACAAGTCACAATCTTCGCTGAAGCAAAATAGCCTTGCTCCCCTGCAGCTCATGAGCTTTACACTAATTTATTTCACATTTTTTGTTGCTTAGATAGTGCACCTAAGCCTCCCTGGACTACTGAAACTCAGGCTAGCACATCTAATACTCTATTGCATATTACAATTGGATAAAAGTTCCACTCACACCATGTGATCAGTAATGTGCTATTTTTGGTGTCAGAAAGTGCCTCTGAGCAAAATAAGGCGGGACAGTGTGAGGAAAGGGATATATTAAATATGAATATAAGTCCCTGATTTGATTTGATTTCTAGTGTCTGTCTTCTTGTATTAATATCATTGCACTTTTAAAAAACAGGTGACCCTGTCATTTTCCCCAGGGATCTTGAGAAGTGATGCTCAAAAGAATATACACACTTACCTTAAAGTCATTACTACTGTGACCTTTCCAAATTTATCATGTAGTGGAGGATGATGGGTAAGGGAGAAATTAAGGAGAAAGAATGATAAAAACTAAGACATCTTTATTTTTTTTCCTGAAGAGATTTGAATGATGATGATAATGATGTACTTAGGGACCTGAGCCCAACATAACACATCAGACACCTCCGAGGTGCCTCTGCTATGGCTCTGAGAGCTCCCAGGAAGCTCTGCCACCTTCTCTTACCTAATAAGTGGCTTGTTGCTCAGGCCAACCCCCTCTTCCAGGGACTTTGGCTGCCAGATGAATAACAAAGAGTTTTTCTGTCCATAATAATAATCTATTTGTTGTCTGTATATGCGGTTTTCTAGCACTCCTTTTCAGTCCTTCTTGATTTTACCTTCTGCACTGAACAGGGAGAAATGCATATGAGCTTTGGGAAAGGGAGATACACATGATCGTGATAAAAAAAAAATAACCTTAACATTCTTCCACTAGCTGTTATAACAGCTATATTTTCAGTCATTTTTCATGGGGTATTTTGCAGTTTTCAGTATTTTCAGCAAAAAGTAATGGCTAATTTTTAAAGCTGGAAGAATATGTGTGCAAGTTAACAGTGTATTTTATAAGTTGCTCATTTTCACGTTTAGAAAGATAAGGTATTTTAGCTGTGTGAGAACACAGAACTACCGATCCAGAAAGATAATTCAGGGACAATTGTGCCAAATCTCATTTTATATATAAATTGGGACATTTCTATTAAGTCCTGAAAAGAGTCCTTGTTTGCTTAGTTCAAACCTTTGAGAGATTTGTAGAGTTACTATAGAATTTATTATCTTGTTATAATTTTTCATTAAAATTCACATAGATTTCAATACTTCTGATCTGCATTTTTTTTCCCTCTTTCACTGGTTGCTAAGCTTTCTTTGAGTAATTAGTAGTCCAAATGGAATGGCACACCTGAGCTCTTCAGTTTAAAATAGGTCAAGTCAAAATGATATCTTACTGCAGAATATTTTACAATAGTATAGCTCAGAAAAGTTTTGACTTTATTTCTCTACCAACATATAGAGTTGACTTTTTAAAACAGAGGGGCAATGAGAAGGTCTCAAGGGCACCTTTGCTGCTGTCATGAGGTATAATAACATTTCACACAGTAAGTTTTAAATTATTTTATGAATTTCTCTTGCAGCTCATGACAAAAAGATCATTTCAGGTAAATAACTTGGGCACTTTTCAAGGGCTCCAATCAATCCCAATCAGACTTCATGCTGCCCCAGGCTATATCCTTTGATACTTCTTGTCTATGTTCACATG